AGTTAACGCATTCCAACAATATATTACATAGAAATGAGCTCAAAACAACAACAACATCGTTACTTGTAGTTACTTGGACAAATCATTGTCCAGCAGCATGTGTCTTGTTTGCATCCTGCGATGCATTTCAGTAAAGAGCATCACACCAACAGTCAAGCCTGGAGGTGGCAGAGCGACGGTTTGCTGCTGCTGTGCTGCAAGACGACCCGTTGTGATTGACGGCGGCCCGATAAATTCTGCTCTCTACTGGAAAATCTTGACAGCGGCTGATCTGAAGCACACCAGTAACCGACTAAAGGCAACAAACACAACTGAGGAGCTGGCTAATCAGACGACCTTAAACGTGGCGCTCACACCTGAAAACGCAGAAAACAATTCCACAAAGAAGAGTGGGCCAAAAATAAAAACCCCACCGCGAATAGAGCTAAAAAGATTTGACTACACTGATGTAATTGTTGCCTGATATATAAATAAGTCTGATGAAGTTTGAAAAGAAAAGAAAACTCAAAGAGAAGAAGTCTGTAAGTGGGTAAACACTTTCTAGTAGCAGTGCAGATCTCGCCCTCCATCAGAAGCCATAATAAAGATATAATCAGCATCACTCACTTCCCCCATCAGCAGACATGATATCATGCTTTGCAGGTGTACATTTTAGGCCCGAAGTGGATCTAAAATGAACAAGTAATAGGCGTTGGCAATTTTTTTTTTTTTTGTCTGTTAGTTGTTTTTTAAGGGAAGCACACAGAAGCTGATGGGTTTGTCACCTGCGTTTGGCTGCAAACGATAGCAGTTGTCATCCACGAAAACGCTCACTTTGTCTGCTTTTGACAGCCTGCGGACGCAAGGAGTCTCGTTTCCAGTCTTCATACTCAACATGCTCTCCAGCTGATACTGTGTTTGTAGACCCGACGCCTGACAAGAGGATGAACGCGACGCACGCCCTCCCAATCTCTGAGCTGTGACCAGCACGGATCCTCCCAACGAAGCACCGACTCAGAGCAACGCCTCCACCCGCCTCCTCTCTTCCTCTCTGGAACGCGCAGAAGTTTGAATGGCATGTGAGCCCCTCAGACACGTGTGAGCCTGCTCCCCCACCCCTTTGAAGAGCGGATTTAGTTTGACATTACGCCTGTGTACGCCTATGAGAGGCCCTGAAGGAACGAAAGGGCTCGTCTCGCATCTCTCGCATCCTCTCCTGCCGAGATGCTCCAGGGAGCAGAGGCAAACTCACCTCTTCGTTACGTTCAGTGTACGTTCAGAGCAACCCCTGCCTCTCATTTCCTCTCTCTCTCTCTCCACCTCAAACCATCAAATCCATCACGATGAAATCCTCAAGCCAAAACCAACCTGGATGTTTTCTGCTTTGACATTTCTGAGGTCACGGAGTTGTGGCTCAGCATCACCAGTTCAAAAGAAAAACACAAAACAAACAAATAAAAAACAACAAGTAATTTCACATTGTGAGCACAGGGGGTCGCTGTTACCACATTGTTGGGCTTGGAAACAGCAACAGTCTGCTTTGAATCAGGGTGAGCAAAGTGTGAATGATGGGAACCATCTCTGTCTGCTGGCGGTGGAGTCTGATGCGTTCTGTGAATTCAGGCTGGTGCTTTAAATACTGTTTGGAGCGTGATCTCACGGCGCCGCGTCACAGACAGACAGAGGTGCGAACTGCTTGTCTCCATCAGACGGGCCTGCTTGCATAATTAGGCTTTGACACCACTCTAATAGGTGCAACAAGTGTTAATTATCAGCGCAGAATGACTGGTAACGGAGAAATGAGCCGTGAATTTAGAGTCTGCTACCACCTATTTTAGCTGTCATCATCATCATCATCATGGATGCTCAGTGTGTCCACTCGCAAAACTGCTGAGGTTTCAAACCACCCAAGTTGTGTCATCTAGCTGACCTTTGGTCAAGGTGGGGTGATTGGTCCGATCCAGGGCTCAGGGTTAGGTTTTTGATGCAAAAAAAAAAAAGACTTAATGTGACTAGTATTTTAATGTTAGTACCTAATTGATACTTCCCAGTCCAATGCACTACATGGCATAAATATTAATGTGGCAGCCAGGAATTCGAACGCTCCCTGCAGACATCTGGAGCTTATTCTCACACTGAGAGTGAGGATCATTTTCTCTGTCCAAGAATGAAACCAAACACACAGCAAATAAAGAAAATGATGGTTGAAGGAAAAAAATAATAAATGAATAAATAAAAGCAATGAAATTGTGCTCCTTGTGTTTTTTTGTGAAATAGAGTCAGAAAAGATCTACTACCTCTCCACCCCCTCACCCCCACCCCTCCAGTTGAATAATATAGCATATAGCTTTTGGGAACAACAAGAACATAAAACAGCATTGGTTTTCTGTTGAAAAATCACTGTATGCTTTTCTTTGTGCGGCTTTTCTTCTTCTTCTGTTAAAAAAGGAGACTGGATATGAAGTCCTCCCTGGAGTCTCGGAGTGGAACGCTGTGGATCAACCTAGTCCAAGGTCCAAAGTGAAGGTTGAAGAGTAATATATAACAATATTTGAGTTAAATACAGATAATTAAAATTTTAACATATGCCCACGCATATATTGTAAATGAGAGACTAATCCTACTCCCCCCGACCCCCAAAATAAAATCTTAAATGGAAATTTATTGAAGGATATAATTCATTTCATTTGGAAACTAAAAGCAGCAATTATCCCTTCTGCTCCTGGAAATATTGTGGCGTGTTTATTATTATGATTACAATGGCTTTTATTGCTTTGTTTACTGCTATTTTAATGCGTGACTCAAAGCAAAAATAAGAAATTGGAGCGCTGCACCTCTTAGAACCGCACAAGTATAACAAGACCACATTATTTGGGTAATTAGTCAGGCTATTTGTTCGAGTGGAAAGCCAGACTTGCTTCTCGTAGCTTTCTCGCTGTTGAAACAGTCCTAAATTAATAAGAGGGCTGGCTGGTGCTCATTTAGTTTCAAAGCAGCGAGAATCTATTTTTGCCATCAGAAATATGTCCAAACAGCCAAATGTGTCCTTTTTGCAATCAGGGAGCAAAAGAAACACACACACACACACATACACACCCCCACACACACACCCACACACACACAAACACACACACACACACACAAACACACCCCCCCCACACACACACACCCACACACACACACACACACACACACACACACACACGGCACATAGAAACAAGCACGACTCTATGCTCCATATACTCCAGCACTTTTCTCTGGCATTTCTCTAAAAAAGATTTTCCACAGAGGGAGCAGGGTGACAGAGATTATAAGGGGTTTTAAAAGCATCACTCTCTTTTTTTTAATTTATTTTTTTTATAGCTTCTCTACTGTTATGTTGCTTGACTCTCAACGCTGCTTTGATAGTTGAAGACATCCCTGTCAATGGACGGAAAAGACAAGCATGTCCCCACTCCTAAGGGACATGTGGAAATGAGCTGAGCCAACACGTTTTATGGGAGACCGGAGAACACCGAGATAACCCACAAACACTGGGAAAAGTGTAACTTTTCACCAGAATTAGCATTAGCATTAGAGCTGTTGCTAAACTGAGACAGAGTTTAACTGTGCTGATTCATTCACTGCACAAATAAATATATGGGCCTCACTCTGCGAGGCGGGACAAGCGTGTGTAATGGCCGACTAAACCAGCGTCCTCGGTTGTATTCAGATGAAGATGTGGAGAGGGAAGCTAACATTGGTGCTAACTGATATAGTTTTAATAGCCAATATGTCATATTCTCTAAAAATGTTGGTTCCTCCACCTGACACTGACCACAACACACTAAATACATAAATATATATATATATATATATATATTTTTTTTTAATGTCAGCAGATGTTTCTTGCACAAATTTCTGCATTCTTTATTTTTGACTAACTGTTAGGTTAGCTAAATACGCTAAGCTGCTCTAACATACGAGTGTGTGTGTGTGTATTGTTCTATTCTATTCTATACCTCTTTACAAAATACATTTGCTTCAACCAGTTGTGTTTATTTTGTTGAAAATGGCGATCTGTGAAGAATGATGAGGCCCTTTTCAGCCTGGTCAATCAATCTGGGTCACTTATTTTAAAGGGGCAGTAGTACGTGTTTTCCAGCCACATTTTGTGGCACAACGAAGTAACTATGTTACCTTCAGTTTTTTTTTTTTTTATTAAAGTGCAATATCAAATGTGTCTTAAATTGAATAGTACTTTGTATTTTAATGCCTTGAAATTGTGTCTCTGTCTCTTTAAGAAGCTCCTGCTCTTTCTGAAACTCTGCCTAGAGGAAGTCATCACAACATTGCTCCTCTTATTTCACAATATTTCTATCAGCATTGCACTGAGAAGTAGCCTGTACCAGGTGTTTGCTAATTGCTGCTGGCTAGTCTGAAGGAGCTGAGGAGGGGAGTAGAAGATGAAGTGCAGCTCTGTGAGGTGGAAGCTTGGAAACTGCAGCTTCAAGGAGGAGCTTTGTCCTTCAGGGTGGAGCTAGGTCAACCCAGGCGTTTTGCACAGCTGAATGGTGTCTATGGCAGATTAATGTACATGACGGAATCGAGGCAACACTCCAGGTATGTTTACGATGAAGGAATAATATTATAACATGATAGAAAGCTTTAAAAAAAAAGTCAATCTCACATAATACTGCTCTTTTGATTCAATCCAGCCCCAGACCTTCTCGGAAACGTCAGAAAAATGAACTAAATCTGTTAAGATTCAGAAATGAAAACTGTTTTATTTCACCCTTCATGCCAAAGGGCACGGTCCACATTTAAACTCAACACCCCTAAAAACACCAGCAGCAGTCAAATGAAACTGACAAACACTCCTGGCAACAATCAGTTAACGGCAGGATTTTCCACGGCAGAAACCCATCATTTGCAACCTTACGTTCTCGAGGACGCCTACGCCTCTGAGAAAGGAGAGAGGTAAAGAGAGGCAGGAGGGAAAGAGAGCGCAGAGAGGAGAAGGAGGGGGTGATGTGCATCAGTCCACTGGCGCTCAAATGGGTAACAGTGAGCACAGCAGACTGAAGTGGAGCGGCGGCGGCGGGTCCAACTCTGAGCCAAGTGAGACAGCGTCCCCCTTTTCTGAAGCGTCACCCACAGGACCCGGCGCGGCTCTGACCGCTGCGGGGAAACTTGCGTCTGCCACCCGAGTGCAGGCGCTCAGGATGCGGACCGACGCCTGCAGCTGCGCAGACTGACAGTTTAAAAAAAACGCTCCTAATCCATTTTTCCCCCTCCTCTCCTTCCCCCGGAGGATTACTCCTTTATTCAATGATAATGGGTAAGTCATTCAGTTCTTCACTGTTTTAGTGACACAGTTTCTGTCTCTTCAGTCTCCTTGTAGCCAGGACGACAGCTGTGATCAGCTTCAACTGAAAGATTCCCACTATAATGAGTCTGTCTCTATTCGTTGCCAGTATTTCTGCCAGAAAAACTGGTTTTTAAATGTACCCGTTTGCTTAATCAAAACTACAACTAACTTGTCTTCATGTGCATCTGTAAATAGTAAAAGTACCTGTGAACGTTTCTTGATGAAGCTGGTCTCAAGAGACAGACCTCAAGCTGTTATCCACTGTTTGAGGACATGAAAGTCCTACCTTTACTCATTCAATCCATGTTGTTGCATGCATTTTCAGAAACTGAGTCATCCCTTTGATTGCCTGTGCCCCACTCTACCCCCAACAGGTTCTGTGATGTTGGACTGGAGGTTATCTTGTCTTCTTCTGCAGGCAGCTGCTCTGCTGCTGCTCAGCGAGGGGGAGAGGATGTGCCCCGCGAGTTGTCGCTGCGAAGGAAAGATTGTTTATTGCGAGTCCGGCATCTTCCAAGACATTCCGATAAACATCACGACGGGGTGCCAGGGTTTGTCTCTGCGCTATAACAACCTGCTGGTTCTGCTGCCGTACCAGTTCGCCCAGCTCAATCAGCTCATCTGGCTTTACTTGGACCACAACTCCATCCACAGCATCGACGCCTTAGCCTTCCACGGCGTGCGCAGGCTGAAGGAGCTGATCCTGAGCTCCAACAAGCTGAGCCTTCTGCACAACAACACGTTCAGTGCCATACCAAACCTGAGAAATCTGGACCTTTCCTATAATCAGCTGCAGTCTCTGCAGCCAGGCTATTTCTACGGGCTGCGCAAGCTGCAGAATCTGCACCTCAGATCTAACGGGCTGAAGCAGATCCTCATTCGCACGTTTCTGGAATGCCGCAGCTTGGAGTTCTTGGACTTGGGTTACAACCGCTTGCGCAGCCTCACTCGCACCACGTTTTTGGGGCTCTTCAAGCTGCGAGAGCTACATTTGGAGCACAATCAATTCTCCCGGATTAATTTCTACATTTTCCCACGCCTTACCAACCTCCAGGCGCTCTACCTGGCGTGGAACCGGATTCGGTCGATAAGCCAAGGGGTTCCTTGGACCTGGCCGAAACTGCAGAAGCTCGATCTTTCCGGGAACGAAATCCAAACTCTGGAGCCGGACGTCTTCCGCTGCATGCCGAGCTTGCAGACGCTTAACCTGGAAACTAACAAGCTGAGCAGCGTTTCCGTGGAGGTGGTGGAGGCGTGGACCGCCCTGACCACAATCAGCCTGGCGGGCAACGCCTGGGACTGCAGCCCCAGCATCTGCCCCCTCATGGGGTGGCTCCGGACTTTCAGGGACCCCAAAGACATCAACATGATTTGCAGCGGCCCCAAGGCCACGCAGGGCGAAAGGGTGGTGGACGTGGTGAGGAACCGCTCGATATGCGCCGACGCCGCCAACATGTTCTCGACCACAACCGTGGTCATTCTAACCTCCACCCAAGCCGTGAGCGTCACGGTTTGGCCGGCGGCCACCGGAGCCCCGGCCCTGACTCGTCCATCAGCGCCGCCACAGAAATCTACCCCATCTCCTCTGAGCCCTGCCGGGACACACATAAAGATGGCGGATCCCACCACCACCAGCAGCACCCTGAGCTCTACACCCCCCTACTCTCCACAGACCCCTACGTCATTTATCCCAGAGCTGCAGTTTGAACATATGGCTTTCCATAAAATCATTGCAGGCAGCGTAGCCCTGTTCCTGTCAGTGGCATTGATCCTGCTGGTTATTTACGTCTCGTGGAGGCGCTACCCCAACACCATGAGGCAGCTGCAGGAGCACTCAGTCAACCATAAGCGCAGGAAAAAGGCCCGCAAGCAGGAACAGGACCTGAACTCTCAGCTGCAGGAATACTACCTGACTTACCACTCCAACTCGGAGGCGCTGGACTCGCTGGTGAATGAAAACAGGCCGTGCACGTGCACCATTTCAGGATCCATAGAGTGCGAGGTGTGAGGCACGCGGTCTCGTTTCCGAGCAGAGATAAATGGATTTTTATGTTTTTCTCTCTGTTGGAGGATAAGGAGGCTTTATCTCTGATGCGAGCAGATAGTCTGCAGCGCTGAAGGAAACACTTGAGGCTTTTGCCACAACCATGTGCGCAGAGAGGATGAATTGAATGGGAAGATACATTTGGAGCTAATTATCGCCCCGACCGACACGGAGGGAGTGGTGGGATTAGCTGTGTACGGTCCAAACCCACGATGGGACATCTGCTGCTGTGCAAACGGGCTCTGCAGAGAGACTGACCTTGTTCTCAGTTGGAGCATACTCTTGTGAACCTACAAAGCCACTGTTTTTACTTTCTCATTCATGTAGCTCATAAAGCATTTAGGACATGTGCGCTCTGTGAGTTTGTACGTGTGCGAGTGCGTCCTGATGCCATCTGGTCAGACGAGTAACAGATCTACACCTTCTTCTCACAGATAGCATTAGTCCGGTTGAGTTGTCTCACAGTTGGCAGACGGGCTCAGCAGCAGCAGCCGTACCCAGCGTGTGTGTGTGTGTGCGTGCGTGTGTGTGTGTGCGATGGGGGTTGGGGGCAATCACAAAGAGAGCATCATTTGCATGAAGCCACTCTCCTTATTAAAGATGCTTCTCTTCCATGGGAGATGATCTGTCTGAACGGATAAAAGAAAATATGTACGTTTTCCGTTTGTATCGTCGCAATCGACCCAAATGAGGGATATTTAAAGCTCATGAGACTAACCTCAGGACTGAGACGTACAAATGTGTCAGGTCTGTTTAAGGCCTTGGATGACTGTGTGTGTGTGTGCGTGTGTGAGTGAGTGCGAGACGAGTTACAGCGTTAATTTTCATATCAGGTTTTGTATTTATTATTGCTGTCATTATATTTATGCATTGTTTGTGTAAAGATATACTAATATGTGTGTTTTTGACTGTACAAATTACAAGAAACACTGACGGTCGATGGGAGGAAAACAAACAAACAAGAAAAAAAAGAAATCACAAGACAGAAAAAAGTCTGTATTTTGCAAATTTATGACAGAAGTGTGCACACTCTGGTTAAATCGCCCATTTCACGAGGCGAAACCTTTAATTTGACACGTCAGTTCGACTGAAGGAACAGAGGAAAAATATAACAAAGAGCAAAGCGCAGGAGCCCGGTTGCATAAGTTTGTGCACCATCAAACTAATATGCACCTTTTGGTTTCATCTCAGCATGAAGACTCACATCATCTTTATGTTGTTATGAATCAGAGGAAATTGAGAGGACGTCCATCTGTCCTGGTCGGGTTTTTGCTGATGTTTGCTGGTTTGTCCCTGTTAGCTGGAGAGAGAGAAAGAGAGAGAGACAGAGAGAGAGAGAGGTCACAGAGGATCGAACGGATCTCGTTGTGCGAAGGCACCAAAAATTACACCACAATGTTTGCATGCCACAGTCCACTGAATAAACTCATCAACAATCTAGGAGATTAATTGCAAAATAAGTGACACATTCAATAAAACAACAGCAGGGTCACAGGACTTCCTGTTGCGTTCTGGTTGTACTGCTGTACTGCAGTAGTGCCTTAACCCGCCACTTATAAAAACAAATTGTTTTGTTGTCTAGAAGCCTCTCATAGCCTTCAAATTTAATTGTAATTTGCAAAAATAACAAATGAATGAATAAAATCATCATAAGATGTTAGGTCTCGGAAAAATGTCTCTACCCGGGTCATTCGCCATCTGCCTCCCGTTCTGTTCTCTCTCCTGTGTTCTCCATTTCTTTCTCAACTTTGTGGCTGAAAATCCCTGATGAAAACAAAAAAAGTTTCATTTTCTAAGACGTGTGGCTCAACCACGAAACCTTATGTTCAAATTCCTCAACTAACTTGTAAGAAATAAAACTTTGTATATAACCTTGTTGTCGCCACTGAAATATTCAATTGGTTTGTTTCTAGTTGCTAAATAGTTTATCCAGGTTTCATACGTGCTTGAACCAGAATCAGGAAGACGTTGACACTGTTTGGTTAAGCCTGTGTTTACTGATACTTCATATGTGTACTTTTGTCATATCGCTATGACATCATTCACCGACTTCTCACAACACCGCAGCAGATGACTAAGCTGCAAACAAAGCTGCAAAAGCAAAAGTAAGTTAAAATGCTTGAGTGAAAACTAACATTTCTATTTGTGTGATTAAGTATGGCTGATAGACAAAAGAAAATATGTTGGCCTGCTTAAAATCTCTCCAAATGTTCTGGTAAAACGAGTAACGGTGGAGTGAACCCAAACTTGAACCTTTCGCCAAAAAAACGAAACAAAAACATACCCTCCCCACAATGAAGCATGGTGGTGGCAGCGTCATGCTGTGGTGTTACTTTTCTGGAGGTTTTGGGTCTATTTTGGCGCAGAGAGCTCTCACGTCTCCCCATCAAAATGAGCCCAAACACGTGTACGAAAACACTGGCTTCACCAGCAGAAGATTAATGGTCCAGAATGGCGGAGGCAGAGCGCCGGACTAAATATAACAGAGCATCTGGGCAAATATTAGCAGCAGAAGATGTAGAGTGCTGAGACAGCAGTCTGCAAGCTGAAATTGAATGAAAAGGTGCTTCCACAAAGCGTCGCTTTAAGCGTGTTCACTATTATGTAACCGGGTTCCTCCTGCTTTTCAAAACGTTTTACGCACCAAACCCTCACCCGACCCGATTGCTTCGTTTTTATGATCCAGTGTACAAAGCTAATGTCGCATTAAAAGGTGAGAATAGTTTTAAATCTATTCATCATGGTGTCTTTTGGTGTTTTTTTCTTTTACATGAAGACAAAACTTAACAAGAGGTATGCACACTTATAAGAGCCACTGTGTGGAAAGAAAGAAAAGCCTCTTAATCCGCTCGTTTTTGCCTGAACGTCACGCATTTCGGTTGCGCTTCGCAGGCGCCTGCCGTGGTCCCACGCGCCTCCTGTCGCTGCTTTTCTCCCGCGAGCTCCTCCGGTTCTCCTAAATCCCCCCGACGGAAGTGGATTGCGCGCCCCACCTTGGGGAGCCTGGAAATGAGCAGGTTTACACTTTTAGGTTCTGCTTTCAGAGCCAGAGCAGCTTAAGGAGCAGATGCCTTTCTTTGTTTTGTTTTGTTTTTTTGTTCTGTGGGACGACATGAAACCGATTCGGATGCAGGAAGGTGGAGAGAGCGGAGGCGGCGCGGCCGAGGTCGAGACGGGTCAGCTGTAATTTAGTTATCGTCCACCTGGCTGCGACCTTTTCTCCCCGCTTCAATTACTCGCTCATTTAGAGCGGGGAACATGACATGAAGGGTGCGAGGGCTGGTTCTACTCTATTGACTTGGACGTATGCGTTGGCAGCAAATTGTAAAGATGAGTTAAGACCCATTGCAGATGCAGAAACTAGAATAAAATCTAACTTTTACCTCGAGGCCATTTATTGATTAGGGAAAGCAATATTCTATAACGTCAGTGTTTACTTTGTTAAAGCTACCGATGGCTCAGCTGCTACCCCTAACAATCCCTTGAAAATTAATCAAGTGAAGCATTTTTTTATAATGAATTTCTACTTTCCCTGCTGCATAAATGTGACACGAAAATGGCATCAATTCCTTGAAAAGCAAAGCGTAGTTATCTTCCCCGGTAGGGAAAATGAGGGTGTGAAGGTGGAAAAGAAATGTCCGCTGCTCACTGATGGAGAAATGACGAAGGGTGGGCACCACGTGTCCATGACAACCATTAGTCACGATCTAAATGCCAATGGGTCTTCTAGGAAAAGAGCCCCGACTTTTCACATCGTACTAACATCAGAGTCAGCAGGTAGAGTCTGTAGATCTCCAGGCGAGTTTCGCTTAATTTTTGTCAGGACGATGGATGGCGACGAACGCTCTGCTCGGGTTATGAAACCAACCCAAGAATGAGCAGATGAAACATTTGGTAGAAAATCTACGACGCTGTCGGCCTTTTTTCCTCTCCCAAAGATGTCCTCTCAAATCGCTTGAAAGTAATTTGTTGAAATAGCAGAGGACTTGAAACAAAAACCTGATGAACTCTTAACAAAATATGTATTGGGACTTAATGGCTGCGCAGTCAGTAGCACCGTTGTCATGCAGCAAATAGGTCGTGGGTTTGAATCCCATGCATGTCTCTCTGCATGGAGTTTGCATGTCCTCCCTGTGCAATGCGTGGGTTCTCTCCAGGTACTCCAGCTTCCTCCCAAAGTCCAAAAACACGACTGTTGTCTCTCCAAATTGTCCTCAGATGGATAATGATCCAAAACTTACTTCTACAGCCGTCTCAGTCCCCAGTTATTAATCCTACAGAAAACGAGTGGAGTAAGCTGATGAGAACATAAGAGAAAAGTCCAGGTTGATCTGGAGAGATGGCAGAACAATCCGTCTGGTTAACGTTGTGAAATGTTGCAAGTCAAGACTCAATGCTCCCTTATCTAAGTGGCCACAAACTATCCCACCATGAAAAACAATTATTTCCAACATACATTGCTCAGAGTAAGTTGATGCAGATATAATAAAACACTTTTTTGTTTATATTTTTGAAACTCGGACGTCTTTGCCAGGGCTGGAAACAAAGTTGTCCGCGCCCACTGCAGCCGAGTAGAGGAAAAGAAGCGTGCCGTCGTGAGCGTCTCGTACGGCTCTCGGCTGTAGACAAGCGTTCGGCTCCTTATCGGCTGCGTCGACGGCTCACAGGCCTCCTGCGCCGCACGCCTGGAGTTTCTGAGCGGTCAAAGGTTGTTCCGATAAGGATTTATGGTCTCCCACAGTCCACGTTTAAACATGACTCAGGCTTTCTTTATGCTCCGAGCTGGCAGGGCGAGAGGCATGCCGCCAACAGAATTTATATCCATAAACTCAGTCCACAGCTCTTGCATAAATGATGAATTTCTTTCAGGGTCCACTGGGGAAACCTTCAGGCCAAACGGGGGGGAGAAATGGGGTGTAATAAGACGGGCAAAAATGATTTGTTGCTATAATTTTGGCAGATATTGTAATTAGTGTTTGACTTGTCGTATTGTGGCTGACGAAAAAGCAATTCCTTATGCTTTGAAACCTTTCGGTGTTGTGTAGCAGGGAGAGGAATGCTGATTAGAGCGCTGTCGTCCCGCACGCCGCTGATCATTACGCAGGGCATTTGTTTGGGATGAAATATTGTGGGAGTGTCGCGGGTATCGACCGAGCCAAAAACAACGGCACAACCAGAACTCCGAGGGCACAAATATTGCAAAAACTCTCTCCGAGACGCGGGAGAGATCATTACACCGTGAGGCATGTAGGACGGAGTATTCTAATCAGATGAGCGTGGAGGGAGGCCAAATGTGGAATCGATAAAAGCATGGCTGGAAATGCAGCAGGAGAACGGTGCGTTTCCTGGCCAGCTCTCTCTGCGACCAGAGAGTCTTATCATTCTTTAGAAAAAAAAAAAACATTTCTGCTGCAGAAATGTACTGGGTGTTTTTGGGAAGTGTGCAAGTCTTTGCTAGCAGCTGCAATTGGTTGTTTAACGAGAGGGTGAGATTGTTGTAAAGCAAATGCGGCATTTCATCAGTCATCATCAGCAGACTGTGTTTATTGGACTTCCTGATGAGCAGAATCTGGTTCTGAGACGAACCTCAACAGCTTTCCAAAAATGAGTTTGTTTTTTTTGTTTTTTTTACATTTTGCCCCTTTCCAGCCACAGACTTAAATGGTAAGATTACAATCTAATACCTCTTATTGGGTTTTCATATAATAGACCAATAAAATATGGTTAATAATTTAGTATAACTTGTATCATTTAGTATCTGACCAGCTTCTGTTGTCCCCTGCTGATGAACAGCCTCCCCATAATTTGATCGCCCCAACTCCATGTTTCTCCATGACCTCCAGTGGGGGTCATGGCGTGTTCTGGCGAATGCGTACTGTTGGTTTATAACCACGGATCGAAACAAACTGCAAGTGGGATCACTTGTGGGACTCTTCCTGCCCCTCTTCCACGAAGGACAGATCTGCGGCGTGCGCAAATAGTAGTTGACAGATTCTTTCATCTGAGCTGTGGATCCCTGCAGAAAGCCTACAGTTGCCATCTGGATCCTTCTTCCACAGGTTTTTCCCTCTCCCCTGTGTGACGCGATGAAAACGGCCAAAGGGGCTCGCAGTGGCTCTCTTTGAACATTTCAACAACCTTCCCTATCCACCATAAGCGGCAGATTTGTGGAGAGCACAACTAATAGTTGCACCGTTGGCAGATTCTCCAATCTATGGCAGTTGATTGCTGCAGAAGGTTCATCTGGACTCGTCTTCTCCGTTCAGACAGAGTGTTGGTTTCTTCTCTTTCCATTTCAGCCGATGGTCTGAACCCCACTGAGAGCTTCACGTTTTAGGATAATGTTTTTTATACTAGTGTGTTCTTTGGGTTTTCATGATGATGTTTATTTCCTCAAGTGATAAGTAAAAACAAACCTATGCAGCACATTTCAAGTAATACTGACCCATCAATCGAGTAAACCTACGTTTACTCGACTGCATTACAGACACTCCAATCAGTGGGCAACTCAGGGCGCAACTTGGGCACGACGACATCCGACAGGACAGGAAACTTGTGTCTAACTCACAGTCTCACAATTAAAAGATGGATTTATTCAATTACACACAGAAAAACTATTTACTAATTAGATGGCTCTTGAAGGCAATTGGTTGTCCTGATTTTCCTTTTAAAGGTATCAGAATAAATGGGGCTGGATGCAAAATTTATGCCTTGCTTTCTCATAAAGAAAATAAATAATGTGTTAATGCACCATATGGGATGCAAATAAAACGGAAAAATTTGGGGGGGTTTAATGTGATAAAAAAAAAAAAAGTCAGCAGTAACTTCTTAGACGCATGAATCTTATGAATCTAGGATTGGTGGTTGACGTGTCCTCATATATTTATTGGTTTCCTCCAGTTTCTTGTCATAAGCTTACCTGTTGATCAATTGAGGTATTTTAAATTGATCTGCAGGATTGAGAAGTGATTTTGTTGTTTGTTCTTTGATCCTTAATGAATTTGGACGGTGACCACTCACCTGGCCCTTCGACCGCCGGGATTCACTCCAGGCCTCTCGTGACCCCGAACAGAACCAGGCGGCATAAAAAAAGCTGAGCGAACGAGCAACACCAAACCTTTCAGAGTACATAATGAAACCTCCTCGGGAATTTTTGTGCGGCGCACTCAAAGATGATGAAATTGATTATGTGAACCGGCTGGCGGGAGTGAATCCCGCGGGTTTCTCAGCAGCACTGTGGATTTGACTCACATTTGAATGTGATGGCACACAGCTTCTCAATAATCCTGACGACTCTGAAGTTCCACAAATTCTCGCGGCTCCTGTCCTTGAGCATATTTCACGATCCCATGGCCTGCTGCTTCTGTGGGAGAGGCCGCCGTCCAACCTCTTCAAGGATGATTGAGCCGTCGAGCCTTGCGTTGGACAAAATGAGCCCCGGGCGCCGGGAGAGTTTCCTCCTTTCTCTCTAGATGAATTTAAGGACCCAACGTGCATTACCCTTAAGCTGGCACATTGAAGTAATGAGTTCCGGGCTGTTAAATCCAAACGATTAATGAAAATAGAATAAATGAAGAATAAAAGTACTCAAAGGGAAGTTGTCACAGTTTAGGAAGAAAAGTTGTTCTGTGCCCCGCGCTGCACAACAAGATCTCTTTGTTATGCTCCCTTTTGTGCAGAGCATGTCACCTGTAAAATTCATTCCAATACCGAGGCGCTGCAGCCTTTTGTCTC